GGTTTAAGTCATGATAAAAACTGGGCCCTGTGTCCACCAAAAAATCAACTGATTTCCCCTCCACTTCAATTTTTACCTGAGGTTCGGGGAGGGGCTCCGAACCATGGCCCCTTCAGTCTCTAGTGGCAAGTATTGCTGTCTTCTTTTTAGGGCACTTCCTGGCCCAATGTCCTTTTTCCTTACAGTAAGCGCACTGACCTGAATCTAAGTCTTCCCGCCTGCCTTCTCTGTGCTTAGGCTTTTCCTTCCATTTATTATCCCCTACTCGTCTCCTCTCCGCCTCATGTAATGCCAAAAACTTAACCAGTTTTTTTGACTGGTTTTCATCCTCTTGCACATCCCTGTTTTAAACACCTTTTCTGCTATTCCCACTAACTCAGTCAGATTCTTCCCTTCAAGTCCTTCGATTTTCTGAAGTTTCCTATATCTGGAGCTGACTGACTTGCAGAGCAAGATTCACTGCCCTCTGATTTTTGGGTGCCTCAGGATTGATTGGGCTATACCTTTTATAGGTTTCAATTAGCCTTTCTAGGAAAGCTCCTGGAGACTCATTCTTGCCTTGAGTCACCGTACTAATTCTGGTTTAGTCTGAGAGCAACTTTTACTCCTGGAAATTCAGTTACAGGATTTCAACATATCAGAGACCTGTATTTGTTCTGAAAGTCTCCCATATGAATTTCCTTTAAGGCAGAATTCATCTTACGAGAGAATTAAAACAATTACAAATGACAAAAAAACTCAGAACAGATATGGTCAAATATCAAACGATGACCCTTATCAAAACATTAAAACTTTAGGAAATGTATAGAACCTCTGGAGCAGTTACAGCATTTACCCAAATGTAACCCAAGGTTTATCATTGATTTAGCAGTACTTCCTGAGTAACTTTGCATATCAGGGAAAAGCCTTAGGAGTCAAAGAGATCTCATTTACAATTCTGGGTGGACAAAAAAAAACATTTACATTTTCTTAGAAACATCTCAATCTCTAGTGAAGACTAAATATTAACCAATTGTGAACTGTTGCAAGAGCAGTTAAGCACAAAACATGTTTACCAACAGATGTCAAGAGCACAAACCCAGTTCCAGCAACCAGCGCCCCAGCACTTCATCCCATTTGTCATCCAAGCAAAACTTCAAAGCTTCGGTTACCAAAGACTCCAAAAGCTACTTTAACAATTACCCATTAAAACCCTGAGACAGACAGTTAACCATCAGCCCAGCCATCACTCCGCCAACAGACCTCATGTTCCACCTGGGCCCATTCCACTTCAGACGCCATGCTTTCCCTGCCAGCAAGGGGAAGGGGCTAGGCAGTCCATGTCAGGCCAGAGAAGGCAAGGAATTCCCCGAAACAAAGGGAGTTTCAGCAGTTGCCTGGGAATATTCCTTAAAGTCTCTGTCTCGAGGTCGGTTCATCCCGCAGTGCCAGTTCTGCTTACCAAAAGTGGCCCACTAGGCACTCATATTCCACACCTGGCTCCAATGAGCATCAACACTGGGCACCTTAACCCGGCATTAGACCAACCCCAGTTGGCTCCAGTTATAGCCCTTAACACACGAAATGAGTGAGGGAGAAGCCCCACATCTATTAGGAGGAATGGAGAGACGAAAAAGTCAGAGCCCCCTTATTCTGTTTCCCCCATTCCTTCAAAAACAACAAACAGCACAGCAGACAATGAAGAGACAAGACAAAGACAACCGCAGGCCCAGCAGTTCTTACCCAGAACCTGCCACTGGTGGGGGCTTTCTTTATCCCCCAACTGCCTAGGGGGACTCAAACCCCTCAACTGTCTAGGGGGAGGCAGGGGACTCATACCCCCAGACCTCTTAGGGGGACTCAAACCCCCCGACCGCCCAGGGGGACTCAAACCCCCCGACCACCCAGGGGGACTCGAACCCCCGACCGTGGCGGGGGACTCGTACCCCCCGACCGTCTAGGGGGACTCGAACCCCCCCGACCACCCAGGGGGACTTGAACCCACCGACCACCCAGGGGGACTCATACCCCCCGACAGTCTAGGGACACTCCAACCCGCCGACCGCCCAGGGGGACTTGAACCCCCCGACCGTGTAGGGGGACTCGAACCCCCCGACCACCCAGGGGGACTCGAACCCCCGTCGATCTATCAGCAGAGGGATGGGGCATCCCCGCATCCACTCCAGCCCTGGGGAGCATGGCTGCGTCCAGCTTCTCCCCGGTGGGCTATACCCTGGAGCTCCAACCAGACAGACAGATAGGATCCTAATACCCAAGATCCCGATACCCAAGATCCTAATACCTCTGGAGGCTTTTCCTAAAAATTCCGATGCTGGCTCAGTTCTCGTTGTTAGATCCTGGACGAGCCCCCAATGTTAGGGCCCATGATCAAAGGAATGAGACTGATATAAAGCGAAAATCAAACAAAGCTTTATTTCACGCCAAGCATCAAAAATCAAACTGACTGGTCAGGGCTGTCTCTTAAGAAAAGACGATGACGATGATCCCGACAAGGTCACTCCCAAGAAGGCTGCTCTGGACGAGGCTGCCCTGCAGATGAGGCCACTCCCCAGTCGGAGCCGCTCCCAAGAAGAGGCCACTCCCAAGAAGGCCGCAGCTGATGAGGTCGCTCCCCAGACAGGGCCGCTCCGAAGAAGAGGCCACTCTGGAGGAAGCCGCTCCCAGGACGAGGCCACTCCCAATGACGAAGAGGCGATGACAACAACAATGATGACAAGGAGGACAACACTGATGACACAGACTCTGCTCCCCATGACACCACTCTGACAAGGCTGCTCCCCAGAGGAGGCCACCGCTCCGGACAAGGCCGCTCACCGACGAGGCCACTCCCCAGTCGAGGCCACTGCTAATGAGGTCGCTCCCCAGACAGGGCTGCTCCCCGGACAGGGACTGCTCCAGCGAGGCCGCTCCCTGGACAGGGCTGCTCCCTGGACAGGGGCTGCTACGGCGAGGCTGCTCCCCGGAGAAGGCTGCTCCAGCAAGGCCGCTCTGGAGGAAGCCTCTTTCCTGATGATGTTGCTCCCACAGGGCCACTCACCGAGGAGGCCTCTTCCCAGACGAAGCTGCTCCCCAGAATGATGCAGCTCTGGTGAGGCAGCGGCTCAGGGTTTGCGGCGAGGTTGCTGGCGTCTAGGCCATTCCCCGTGGCGGCACTGCCGAGGGTTGTGGTGTGTAGGCGGGGCCGCTGGTGTCTCGGTGGTGGCTCGGGGCCGCCGGCGTCGGGGCCGCTGGCGGCTCTTATAGCTCTGACAAGAGCTGTTACAACTCCCACAGCTCTTACAAGAGCTGTTACGGCTCTTCTTCTGCTCCCACTGACTCTCCTTCTTCTGCTGCCGCAGACTCTCCTTCTGCTTCCTTCTTCTTCCTCCGTCAGCTCTCCTTTTTTTCTCTCGACAGCCTCGCAGACCAAGCTTTATGGGGGTGGTTGAGCCCTGCCCCTACACAGGCGGCCAACTGAATCCCAATTCACCCCAGTGGATATACGCATGCCCCACCGATTGGACATCTCCACCCGGCCTGCCCCGCCCCTACATCTGGGGTCCACAAGCCAGCTCCTCTGGGAGGGGCAGGCCCTTACAATTATGACCAGTGGTTCGTCGTGGACCTGCAGCAGCTGAGTGTGTGGCTTCCCAAACTAGAAACTAGAAGCACTTTGTAAAATTGTTTCCTTTGAGGCAACCTTTTGAAGTCCATTCAAATTCAAACCAAGAGTACAAAATAAAAAATCAAGCAAGAATGTCCTTTTGCAATCTCTCTTTTTAAAAGAGATTGATTTTAGAGGGAGAGAGAGAAAGTGCTTGCACAGGGGAGGACAGCGGGAGAGGAAGAGAGACATGGAGATTCCCTGCTGAGCGTGGGGAGCCCGACTCGGGGCTCCATCTTACAATCCCGAGACTATGACCTGAGCCAAAACCAAGAGCCCAATGCTCAGCCGACGGTGCCGTCCAGGCACCCCTGCAATCTCTTAAAAAACGAACACTCTGCTCTTTAGAATTCATATAAAAAATTAAAGTGATCTTGGAAGTGATTCTTTATCCATAAAGTGACAGGGAGAAAGGAAAGGACTGCGGTCCCCTTGTGGCCCAGGTGATTACAGTCAATCCATGACTCTTGTATTCAACGAAGGCTGCACAAAGGTGTTCCTGGTTCCTTAGTCCCAGGAGAGACGTCCATGCAGACTCTACTCAGCCACCAAGAAACCCTACAATGGCCTGGCCATTGGCACTGACTTAGGAAGCAGGAATTTATCACGCTACTACTGCTTAATTGATGTTTACAAAAGAAGGTTTTACATCTAAATTTAGAGCGCTGCTAGGCGAAGTATGTATTTTTAAGTCTAAATTTTATTTGCCATTCACTAGTAATGATGTACGCTACAGGCACACAGCAGCCAGGAAAGCATAAGCACTTCTAAGTATCTGCGACTTAACAACAAAGAACCCCTGAATGTTGCATAATAGCAGAAATGATTATGATGACTGCGATTAAGACACATTGCCTGACTGCAATTAAGAAGACACCAAAACATACAAAGTTGTGTCTGGAGTGAAGAAGCAGAGAGGCTCAGAGTGGGGGTTCTGGCATCACACTGCTAGCAGTTTTCCCCACTGTGCCTGTCTTCTCACCTGGAAAATGGGCAGAGCGGTGGTGTCTACCTGCTGAGTTTTTCCATGGGGATTAGATCAATTAACACGTGTGCATTTCTTAGAGCAGTTCCCGGTGGAGTCAACGCTCAATAAACGGTACCTATTTTCACTGATGAAATCCAGTATTATTTAGACAGAGTATCCAGTGTTCTTATGAGGATCACAATAGAGGTGATTCTGACATTTTGCTTTTGGCCTGGGTTCTGATGCTCACGTCATTTATTCCACTAATCAGGGAGACGGTGACGGTATTAGAAGTGACATCTACCAATGGTGATTTTGATGAAAAATGCTGAACGGGCTGGCATGAAGATTCTGCTTTCGATAACTGAGATGTTCCTTAAATCATGGCAGGTCACGGCTTCGCAGCTCTCAGCACCTCGTAACTGGTACCCAGTGCCCATCCTAGCAGACAGCGAGAACGACAAGTGGGAGTGGGTGGGAGTGCTGAGGGACCTGCACAAGACGCTGAGAAAAAGCCCCTCCAGAGACCGCTAGCTCCATGTGCTGAAAGAGGCTTGCAACAGCAGCCTGCCCTTGATCAGAACCCGCCGGACGGCTGCAATCGTCGGTACGGACCTGCCACACGGGCGCCTCACCCCAGTCTCCAGCTCGAGATCCGAAAACTGTAACTTTATTCACGACTCGTGTGTTAGCCAAACCCGACCGAGGCTGGTGGGGGTCTCCCCACAGCCCATCTGCTGTTAATACTCTGCAAAAACATTAGTATACTTGATTCTATGATGGTTCCCCAGGCCCCGTGCAAAACGATGTCTCTTTAATATTCAGTAATACCTCTCCTGAGTCTGAATAATTCTGAGTTCCCAAACCCAGCTGGCTCCAACACACCAACAGTGTGACCCTGTGTACTAATTGTGCACTACCACCTACCTCAAGGGCAGAGATCGTCTTTCGTGTCTGTATTCCCAATGCCCAGAACTCAGTAAACAAATGAAAAATAAGTGAGCAAATGAATGAATTGCCAAGATCAATACTGAATAAACAAGAATATTTTTATCGCCCAAACAGTTCTTTTGCCTTAGAGCCACCTTGCTATTTACTGCTGTGTAAGAGGGAACCCGTTACCACCGTGCCCATGCGTTAAGTGCACACAGTTCCCGCTTTCCAGCTATGAAGGGGATTAAGTGAGCTGGTATGTAGTTCTGTGCTTTGTACTTAAGGCAGTTGCTCAGTAAGTGCTGACCTTCCACTCTGAGTCTTAGTCCTAGCTACATCCTGACACACACCGGTGCATTACAGTTCAGGCCAGGAGCACTGATAAATTAAATGCACAGTTTTTTTCATTCATGAGACAGTTACTTATTGAGAGCAAATTTAAAAATATACCATGACTTAAATACTATCTTTTCAAGTATTCATAAAGGTAATGATCTTTCTGTTGAGAAAAGTTGTGTTTTATTTTTACTTCTAAAAGCTGAAAGCAAAATGGTGCAAATTATGTTTTTCATTTTTATATATGCTAAATATGTATCTAATTTGACTTTTAAATTTTCATATTGATAAAGTTGTCCAGTTTATTCTAATAGCTTTACTTACTGTTCACCCCCCCCCCCCCCAAAAAAAAAAAAACCCTGACGTTATATGTATGTGTCAAACACAGATCACAGAAGAATCACTCTGGGAAATGAAGAAGGGTTCTTTGTCATGCACGTCATCATCGGTGGTAAGGAGAGTCTTTACTGTTCTGCCATAACTCTGAAAATACAGTATCAGATTTGTTCTTTCATTCTGTAAAAGAAATCTTCCAGATCTGGTTTGATATATTTTTAAGTCAAATGATGACTTTTCTAATATCCGGAGACCCATAATCTTCCCAGAGTCTAAGTATCTTCACAGGTGATTTTATGTAATGAGTCTACTGTAAGAACTCAGTTTACTGTCTTCAAATTGGCACACCAAAACAAACAAACAAAAAAACACAACAAAACATGGTTCTGCTTGCTACCCCGCCCCACCCCTGCCGGCACCGCAATGAGCAACAGCATATAACTGGGTATTTCCTGGAGAAGAGAGCAGAGTTCTTTGTCCTTGTCTGGGTGCTCAGGGTTGAAGGGGACATGAAGGACTAGATGAAGTCAAACAGCTGTTCTATACCACTGTCCCTGTGAATGTCTGGTGCCTGTCTGGTGGCTTAGCTAGAGGAGAACCCACATTTGAACATCAACTGTGTCCTGCGTTGAAGGCCTCCCGTGCTGTGTGGGTGACTCAGTCCTGCCAAGGAGGACCATGAAAGCCAGAGTCCAGCATGAGAACAGGAACAAGTCTCTTTTTTGTGTGGCAATGCACTCCATGCACCTAGAACAGTGCTGGGCACACAGGAGCCACTCGACACATAGTTGTGTAATCAATGACTCAATGTAGTGCCAGAAGAAAAAAGGACACTTTTCCCCTCCTAAAAAAGTAGTTTGTTAGCATTTGTTGGACATTGAATGGTGTTTGGCCTGTTGCCTAGAATATCAGGGTTTAAGTTTATTAAGCTATTATGCTTTATTATGTTAACTTTATTATTAAGGTAATTTTGTTATCTTTGGAGTAATTACTTTTTGAACCTATATGATTTTTGATCTCTTATCCTTTCCTTCCTATCCTTTTCTAGGCCTCTCAAATCTATCCTGAGATTATGTCTGTGACTTTATTAGAGCCTGACTTAAATCCATTAGAATAGTAATTGGGAGAGAATTTAAAAATAAGAAAACATTCTCCTTACAGTAAAGGTAACCATTTTTCAAAAGGCTTCATTTTCAAGAAAATGAAAAGGCAATTTACTGAATTATGAGAGAATATTTGCAAAATCATACCTTATAAGGGTATATATAAAATATATAAAGAAATCCTACAACTCACTAGCAAAAAAAAAAAAAAAACAAACTCTTGTCTAATTTAAAAATGGTCAGGGGATTTGAATAGACATTTTTTCCCCAAAAAAGACATATAGATGGCCAACAGCAACATGGCATGAAAAGGTTCTTAACATCCTGAATCGTCAGGGAAATGCAAATAAAAACTACAATGAGATATCATTCTTAACTGTTAGAATGGCTATTATCAGAAAGACAAGGAATAACAAGTGTTGGCAAGAATGTGGAAAAAAGAGAACTCATATACTGTATTGCTGGGGATGTAATCTAGTTTGGCCTCTGTAGAAAACAGTATGGAAGTTCCTCAAATTACTATATGACTTAGCAATTCTAGTTCTGGTGATTTATCCAAAGGAAAAAAAATACTAACTCACTGCAGAATTATTTGTAGTAATCAAGATATGAAACAACCTAAGTGTCCATCAATGGATGGATTGATAAAAAAAAATGTGGTATTCTATACAATGAAATATTATTTAGCCATAAAAAGAACATCTTTCCATCTGTGACAACATGGATGGACCTCAAGGGTATTATGCTAAGTGAAATAAATCAGACAAAGATCAATTTTGATGGCTCTTTTATGTGGAATCTAAAAAAAACAAGCCACCCCCCCAACACACACAAAGCAGCTCATGGGTAACAGAGAACAGATACAGATTGGTGGTTGCTAGAGGCGAGGAATAGAGGGTGAAAAATGGATGAATGGGGTCTAAAGGTACAGGTTTCCAGTTCTAAAATAAATAAGTCTGGGAAGCATGATGTATAGCACAGTGACTATAGTTAATAATAGTTTACTGTATACTTGAAAGTTGCTGAGAGAGATCTCAGCAATTCTCATCATAAGAACAAAAATGTTAACTATGTATGGTGCTGGACATTAACTAGGCTTATTATGGTGATCATTTTGCAGTTTATACAAATACTGAATCATTCTATTGTACACCTGAAATATAATGGTATACCTCAATTATAACTCATTGAAATTTAAAAAAAAACACGTTACATTGCTAATTTGCAGGTGAGTGGCCATTTTATTTGTAAAGAATTTATTCACAGAACATTAAGATTTATGAGATAATTTTTATTGACCTTTTTCAATTGGTTTTATGTAAGACTGAAAAGAACATTCAAAATAAACAGAGATTATTCTGAACTTGACAATGACTTATAACTATGTTGATTTTTGTAGAAATTATTCGGGTTGGTGACGTGAAGAAGATTCATCAGATTGAGCTCATTCCCCATGGCCAGATGGTTGCGGTGATCTCCGGGAGAAGTCACCACGTGCGGCTGTTTCCCATGTCAGCTTTGGATGGATGGAAGACTGACATTCACAAGCTAGCAGAAACAAAAGGGTGTCAGACAATGACTTCCGGAACAGTGTGCCAAGGGGCCCACACGTGCCTCTGTGTAGTGAGGAAAAGCCAAGTCTTTTGGTATGAGCTGTTTCAGAGCAAGAAAATTTCTCACAGAAAATTTAAAGAGCTCCAGATCCCAACCAATGTCCAGTGGATGGCCATCTTCAACGAGCAGCTTTGTGTAGGATTCCAGTCGGGGTTCCTGAGATGCCCCTTGAGGAGAGAAGGAGTCCCATACAGGATGCTCCACTTACAGGACCTGACACTATCGTTTATTGCACACAAACCTGTGGATGCTCTCTGTGCTGTCGAGATCTCCAGTATTGAATATCTGCTCTGTTTTAAGAGCATTGGCATTTACACTGACAGAAGGGGCCTCTGATCTAGGCTGATGTGAACTGATGTGGCCAGCAGCTCCAACTTACTGCCATAAGGCTATCTTACAATTTGTTCCCTTGTCTTTCTGTATCTTTCTTGCCTTTTTAATTCTACTTCTATTTCCACTAACTGTTGTTAGTGACAGGTTTTATTTCTGAAAACAACATCACTGAAGATATTTCCTGATTTTTCTAAGTCTTTTCAAGTAGAACAGCTGTAATGAAGTTATATCTAGGTCATACATGTGATAACTTAGCCTTTATCTTTTACTTTTTCATAGGAAAATTTACGCTTATATCTTTAATCCAAATTGTTGTTTTCTGTAAGCTCCTAAACAGGTTATCTTCATGGTAACTGAAAATCACATACACATTAATAAGCCATAAGAAACAGTTACCATCTTTTGCTTTTTGGATTTAGTTTATGTAAAGTGTACCTGTAATGCTCCTAAATAATTTTAGCTTATTTCATATTTTATTGGTACAGGCCATCATTTTATAAATTAAATACAGCCTTTTGATTCACTTAGAGAATAGTACAGAGAACTTAATATAAGCAACTTACTCTTCCAAGGGTTAAGGGCACAGTATTAAACATAAAACAGGCTGGTCTGTGTCCATATGGAGATTATACTCATGACATGAGACCAACAATCAAGCAAGTGCTGTGAGAGGGGAGCAGAACAGTCTACAAGAGCACATAGGAGGGATGCCTAATCTAACACAGTAGGTCAGGGAAGGCCAGCTAAAGAAATAAAAAGTGTTTTTGTCTTTCAACTTTTTAAAAACACA